AAGATGTTGATCACTATAGCGTACCTTATCATCGATCACCCAGAGGGGAATTATGGTACCACAGGAGAAAAGCTTAGAAGCCTCAAGGGTGGCGTCGTGCCAATTAATACTTCCAAGTCAGTTCAACTCATAAAGTAAATTCCTCTCCGGACACCCACTAAGATATCGGGCGGTTTTCTCTATGCTACTGTGTCGGCCTTGCTGAGCAAAGCTAGGTGCAGGCGCCTCACTCTAACGTAGGCCCTTCCCGGCATAGTATGCTCCCCCGTAGCAAATGACTCGCATATGATGCGACACGGGGTGGACGGGTTAGAAGTTCGGATACCCCTTCCCGACACGCGAAGTCTAATCCGAATTCAGCTACAAAAAAATCCACGGGAAGATATTGCATGGCCGTAGTTGTGTAATCTCGCAATTCCGCGTATTTAAGATCAAGCAGCCCGTGTGGATTTTAAAGAGCCGGGCACGATTAGTGCATATGACGTGCAATATCAATATAAAATATCGCCCGCCTACATCCATGAGCATGAGATCCCCTCAGACACCGGGGAGGCCCCTTGTCTCGCGCACGCCTTACAACTGTCATATCTGAGCACTCGCTTGTTTACACAGGGGCAGTATACCATTTGGTGGGCTGAAGCAGTACGTAGACTCGACCCTCAGAGCTCGCCCAACGAATACGCGTACTCCCGAACTGTTGAATTGCTGGTACTGGAATGGCGGATACATAAAGTGCATGCGACGAGGACACAGAAACAAACGTGCGTATCAACGGTCCCTCTATAAGCGCGACGAGATTCTATGTTTAAGAACCTTCCTTGATAGATCGTGAGCAAACGCGCATCGTAAAGCTATCAGACGGGTGGGCGGCAGGTCGTGGATCTGGCATCACCCTTTTACGACGCCTTTCTGTAGGTATCTTGAATGGCTCTGCGTTGTACGTTCACGCTGCGGCGATCACCAGGCGGGGAGTCAAAGCGATAAACCCTGCTTCTCGGTCCCGTTTTCGATCCGATCAATAGAGTCCGTCCAGCGGCCCCGCGGCTACGGGGTAGAGATTTAGCGCCGAGGGAGACGCATCGTCACGTGAAAAGAGAGGATTTTAACATTGTGAACAACTAGCTCGTAATCGCCGGGTGATCTAGCAGACGAGTCGGCATCTTCTTTCAAGCACTAATGACCTACATGCTGCATAGTTCTTAATTGAGAAAATGTTGTCTTTGGGGGAACGATCAACTTTCCTTACATAGAACGTTAGGCACCTTCGAGGTCGTCAGTTGGAGGCTCCATGCTATATGACTTTTGCATGCGTGATCTAGTCACACTGCTAAGGCTGACAATTATGCAAGAAAGGTCAACAACTGTCCTCCCGGCTCTTGTTCCACCATCGCGCGACCCCCCTGGAAGTAGTGAATTGCCGTAGAATTGCATTTAGGTTTCCAGGATGTGATACCTTTAGAGAGATGGCTAGTGACAGGGGATCGGCGTAATGGATACGGTCGTTTAGGTGAACAACATTGCCCGCGTTATCCCCGATTTTGCGGGTCGTACATTGAGGATTTATTATCCCGGTCATAAGCCGGCGGGCGATAACTATTGGATGAGGTGGCGATTACTGGGAACTCTAAGCCCTCAAGTGTATCTGTAGGGCCGAGATCTCTTCTATCAATCTATGGCGCGCCCGTGCATGTCAGTACTACCAGATACTGTAGCATTCAGGGCCGAGCGCCTCAGAAGTAGTGGAATTGCCTCAGGTACCTGTTTGGTCGCTCTGCAACTCGTAAACAACTTTATTTTCGAACCTCTGGGCTACTCCCGTGGTAGAGGATGACAACGTTCACCGGTATAGTGTGTCAGGATTATTGGGCTCTCGTACCAGGGCAGTTAAAAGCTTATCGGACCATCATTACCGTGGAACCTGCTCGGCTCCAGCTCTTGACTTAATCCTGCCAGACTCACCGGCAGCCGCTATCCAAGGTATTGCGGTTACGCCACTACTCCATCCGTGCATAAGATATATCCTACCCCATAGGGGAGTCTAATAGACCAGTTATGTAGAAGTCTCTCGAAGGAATCCTGCTTAAGGTGACAGGAGTAGCATACCTAATCTACACCGCATCGAAGTCTACACGCGGTATCGCGTAGGCACGCCGAAGTCGGCTGATAAATCATACATCACGGATCGTACATTTTCTAGGTCAGCCTAATTTCCTTCTCATAACTGATCGTCTAGCTTAAGTCAGTCTGTAATACCCAGTCCGGGTTGCTGAAACGCGGTCTATGCCTTGGGAGTACGGTGAGCGGGAACGCATAATCCTTACCGCCGAAGCAGTTGCTCGCCCCACGGATTTAGTATGAATCAGACCGTTCACTGATGGCCACGAGTTAAGAAGCGAGAGCGGCAACATAAAATCATTCTCCCAAATGGCTGTCAGGAATAGAGAACCACCGCTAACTCGTCACATCCGGAAGACCCTTCGCGAAGTAATAATTTTCGTGGTGGCCACATCGCAGTATCCAGGCGGGAGTCATCTCGGGAGCCGAGGTGCTGGGGCATTCCTTCAGATCCTCTTGCACAGTATGGGGTGAGAGAACCATCTTATACAACGAGTTGCTGTTCTAGCAGTCCAATCAAGTAGTATCGGGGAACCAAGACTGGGTGATATGAAATCCGAAGTCTACTCCAAACACCAACAACTTCGTGTTCTGACCTTGTAAACGCTAGGGTGGATTTAAGCGCAAGCCGACTGTGTAACTGGAGTTCCTTGGATATTCCGAATATGTAGTAGGCTATGCGAGCAAGGGTCGTGCCCATGTACAATCAGGTTTATGGTTGCCCCGCAGTTACGATAGGAAGGTTGTACGTACACGTTACGGATTAAGGAGGCGATTCATTACATAGGGTTGCGAGCATTCACTAGGTCGAGGGGAGATTGCCCTCAGGATAGATGGAACATCATGGCGGTTATGGGCGACTATATGTGCGTGGAGAGCGGATGAACGGGAGGGCCTGCCTGCGCATAGTCTGAGTTAAGGTTGCAAGTATATTGCCAAAGGACCTAGTTAGATCCTAGCAAGGAATGCAGGCTGAATCTAAATAGGTTAGAATCACAATTGCAATAGGATACCTCTCCTTGATACGTTTGTTTTTCGCGGATCGTCACGCAATCGAGCCGCGATCCCGCCGTTCAAGGAGTGTCGCTACATGCCTCTGCAAAGTCTCGCATTGGTCGTGTACATATAGTAACGTACTCTAGCTGCCAAATATATACAGGAATTTTAAGATTTGACAAATATATGCTCCAAAGAGGTCAACATTCAATACACGCAGCATTTTTTTGAGTAAGCACATTCATGGGCTTCATAGATGTTTAAAACATTTCCTTGGGAAATGGGTATATGGATCTCAAAGGCTTAAATATTCCGTTGTTACTTAGGCGGCAGTCACGGCGTGAAGTCTGTGTTCATTATAGTTGTTTGCAATTTTATCCCTCGAGCCAAAATATTTTTTTATATTTTTCACAGTGCTCTGTTTACATTTCAGTTGCTTGCTTTCATTGACCTTCTCAGATGTCGTCTTGAAGACTATGTTATGTGCCCAAGCACATATAACATCGTCTCTATCTCCACTTGTAGCGCTACACATAGATTATAACAATATTGGCCCGGTGCGTTTTTTTTTGTAAATTGTGATTTTTAGTAGCAATGGAATTGGTAGGTTTCTTATTTTAGTCGTTATTGTTTATATATATAGATCAATTATAATTTATAATAATGTTTCAAATGTGACCTTTGTTTCTGCTGAACTAGCACATCATCTCTAGTTTGAGAGTTAGATAAATACATTACCACTGCTTTCGCCAGGCAAAAGTTTTCAATAATTATGATAATTAACCTGATTTGATCTTTTTAAATTTTTATCTACGATCAGACACTTAAGAACGAATTCAAAAATGTGTATTTGAATTGTTGACTTGATTCTACTTATATTTAAAGACGTAGCCATCGAAAAACTGCTCAATATAAAGATACCGTTGTTTTTTATAAAAGAACAAAAAATGTATTAACTTAATACTCTATGACAGGAAGCTCCTATCTTTTACCGTTTCCGAAGTATTCAGATTTGAACATCATAATGCATTTTTTTTGTTCAAAACCGCTTGAATCTGAAATATCTCAAAAACAATAAAAGATGGAACAATGGTTCTTGCTATAATTTTATTTTCTGGTTAATGCTCTATTCAACAACAAAAAACTGCAGTCTTATATTTTGAACAGTTTCTAAATAACACACACAAACATGTTTATGGGCACTTAAAATCGAAATTTGGGGCCTTAAAATAAAAAATCTCGGATTTTCAGATTTGTCCTTTTTTGTGTCCTAAAAGCTATATGTATCAAATTTCAGCTTTCTACCTTTTCGGGAAGTATGCTAGTGGTTTTTGAGACATACAGATACGGTCTTTATTTATATAGATAGGACTCAAGGTCTTGCAATTGGTAAAAAAATTAATATAAAAATATCGTACATGAAAGTGATTCATGCTGATTGACCTTATTAAATATAATCATTATGCCATTTTAAAGAAGCTACTGAGGCAGCTGTATTATTTCTGGCTAGTGTAGGCTATATGTTCTTTGGCTGAGTAGTTAATTAGTTTTTTTACCACACTTCAGTGATGGGTGCATAATAGCAGCATTAAGTAGCACGATTGAGTTGGCCTTTTTTTTTTACCACATATATCAAACAATCTGTAAATTAATCATGTTGTTTTTGCTTACCGGCTCTATTGGCCAATGCTCTGTCGGCAGGCTCAAGAAGAAGTCCCAGTCTCTGGACGCGACCATGCAGGCCTTCACCAACCCCGCCGTGCTGAACCCAGCAGGCCGCTCTGGCTCCCCCACCGGCCCGCCTACCCTCCACCTCGTCAGCTAGCGGCAGCGTGGCACCCCCGGTTCCTAGCGCCGCCAAGCCCAGGCAGGGCTCTGCTGCGGAGGAGGAGCAGAACAACACGGCCAACTCGCAGAAGCGCTCCTTCCGCAGAGCCGAGCTGCGTCGCTTCTACACCATCGGTACGCCGCACCTCCGACTTGCACGGTTGGCTACGTACGGTGCGAAAGCAGTTCTACATACATATGCTGCCCATCTGCATGTGCCAAATTGTGCCGTGGTGGCTAGATGTTCACTACCTCGCCCGGGATACAGGAGGTTGTGGGTTTGATCCCGGCGCCTGTATATTTGGAGTTTGCATGTTCTCCCTGTGGTCGTGTAGATTTTACCTCCAAGTCCTCCAGTTTTTCTGTCCACATTTAGAATCAACATGCGTTTAGAGTATTTGGCTGCTATAAGTTCCCACATGATGAGGAGCCACTTTTCTTGAGCTTTCATTTATGGCCAGGTCGCTTCTGAAAAAAGAGCTATATAGTTCAGTGGACTTTACCTGGTAAAATTAAAAAAAATTTGAGTTGTAAACCGTGCTGGTAAAACCAGTGATGAGGAAGTGGGGGGGGGGCTGATGATGTGGCCCAGCGGTAGCACGCTTGTTGCAGAGGTTCGCGGTTCTATTGCAGTGGTTGTACTGCTTAATACTGCGATTGTATCACGAGTGATAGTTTTCAAGATTCCGTAACGTATTTTTTATAGAGTAGGGCCACTGTCACGTAGAAGGGAAGTAATAAAATAATAAAACATAATAAAATAATTCTCACGACGTTTTGGCTACAACGCAAGCAGCCGTCTACGTGACTTTACCGAAAGAACCAAGAAGATGAATCCCTGCAGTCACGAAAGCTTTAAATCGAAATTTAGGGCCACTGTGTCGCGGCATCAGAGCATGCTAAAGTACTCAAAATACTTAGTTGGGAAGCCACATAGCAACATCGCCACTTACTTGCAGCTTAATGCTCATTTGCTGTCTGGTGCTGCTTTCACCTTGTACCTCAAGTGGACAGCTGCCACTGGTCGGTCTCCTGCTGCAAGTTACGTCCTTGTACTGCGTGGGAGGCGTGGGTTCAATATTGAGTGATTTTGACAGTGTGATTCTTGTAAAGAGTGCGTTGTTTTTAAATCCTTTATATTAAGTTCACTTGCTTGCTTGCTTGCGCGCTTACGACCGTGCCAATCTTTCGGTCGTTTTTTAACCCACTTCCCGTGATCCAATCGAGCTGACATTTTGCACACAGACTCGTTGTGCGTGACAATTTATTTTCGTGAAATTTTTTTCCCAAAATTTTCCACTTTTTTTGGGAATTTTTTTTCATATTTAATTTAAAATACTAATGTGATAAAAATGAAACTCTTACTCAAGAAAAACAGAAATGAATAATAAAATAAAACCGATGCCACACATATAAAGGATTTATAGTGAAAAACTTTGTTTTTACGGGTTAATTTTTTTATCACGTCATTTTCATAAAAAATCGTCAACGCCATCATATTCCACACCTCCGATTAGCACGGTTGGCTTGGTATGGGGCGAAAGAAGATCAACATACATATGTACATATTCGACAATGCGGTCATCACCACAATCGTCGATGCTGAGCTTGCTTTTTGGGTGTAGCTTTGGCGTCGCTGTTGAGTACGCAGATGGTGCAACGACGACGATGCCCACGGGTCACAGGAACCCAGGTGCTGAGCTACAAAGGGGGTGGGGGGGGGAGGAGGAAATTGGACACTATAATTATAGGGCACTATAATTGCACATCTTGCAACTTGAACCTCCTTCCAAAACATCTCTTTTCAACCATTTCAAGGCCCTGCTAAAAATCTAGCCAAGGGGACCGAGTGGTAAGCTGTCCCTGTGCGGCACCAGGATTTATTTCCAATTGAGTAATTTGCAAGTGATTGATCAAATTTGGCAAATATGGGCCATGACACCTGGACATATGGCCTTCTCTTTTATCAATAATATAATTTCCTTACACCCGGGCCCCATGCCAAACAAGCTACGCCACTGTGGTAAAGGTCTCCACAAGTTGCTATTATTATTGCTTTGATTTATGACCGAGTTGTGCAAACAATGTCATTCATTGTAGCAGTGTTTTTTACATGCATTTCCCAAGGGTGACTGATGTCTCAGATTTGTCATCCATATGCGGTCTCCTTTGTCACTTCCAATTAAAACGGTTACCTATCCACTCTATTAAGAACATGTTCCTGTTTTGGTCTATTTGACTTGAAAAATTGTCGTTTGCTCCTCACCCATTGCTGCTGACGTGCGAAAGGAGACATGTAATTTAAAACTTTCAATTTTGCAATGCTATTTATTCCACTAAATGTGTCTTACTTAGGTCTTCCCTGTTTCAACTTTACCTTCAATGCTTAGACCAATTTAACAGATGTACCCATTTCTGGATGGTTACAAAAAGAATGAAACCTTATTATTCGTGTTTACCAACGGAAAGACTTAGAGAGTCGCAACTTTTTCAGGAGAGCTCTGTTTTTACAGTCATGCTGCCATGCATTTTTTTCCAGAATTGAGATGTTTGGCCAATACCAAATAATTTGAAAGATTATTTTTGCGATATAGATTTTACTCTAGATATTATTCGAGTATCATTATATCTGCAAGCGCATCCCTTGATAGGTCGTTTTGTGCCACACAGCTGCCTGCTAGATTGAAAATCGCTGGCCCAAACGCTTTATGGCTGAGGCAGGGCATAGCATCGATGGAGGACAAACAGATTTACAAGCGAGTGCCACCTTTCCTTTGTAACAGTTTTTCAGGAAGCTTTTCAACGCTTCGAGACCAAGCAATGCAGCACGTCTCCTCTAACTCTGTGCGTGCACTTTGCCATGTCTGTTCAGAATACAATATCCGTTCCCAACAGTAGCATGTGCAGTTGCAAAAGCAACTACAAATGTTTCAGCAACAGAGGTGGAATGGTCCATAACAAACCACCGATTTATTATTGATGTGTAAGCTTGCGATACATGCATCGAATTGCATGTGCATGAATCGATGTATTTCCATTCATATGCGTTTATATAATCGGTTCATGTTGTCCCTGGAGTTGCTCGAGGTGTTACCATTGACCGTAGCGTTGAATCGCACTGTCTTAGTGAATTGCAATCCGGACTCGTGACAATTTGTCAAATTGCTGGGGAATGAGGGAACGCTCCAACTGATTTAAGAAAGTACCAACTCTATTTTGGTTGTCACGTGTTGTTCTACTGTATTTATGATTGTTATTTATTTATTAGGTATTCAAACATACATCTTCGAGTTTTATTTTAACGAATTGTACTAAATGTTGAAATCCCATCACATGCTTTCTCACTGTAATGGTTATATTGTGGTTCGTTGTGTACAAATGAAAGCTAACAAAGATTTATTTATTCTGAGCCACTGAAGTAAACTCTTTATTTTGCCCATATATTGCATCTTGCAGGTCATGCAAATAAATTGGCACATGTTGTAATTAATTGCTCGATAGCATTTACTATATTTAAAAAGTGCAAATCTAGTAAGTAATTGGCCTCATACATAGTAGATGGGCATTGTGTATGCATTCTGTCAGGGCGTTTTGAAAAAGAAAATGCTTCCTAAAGAGTGGTTGAATGCTGTTATTTATTTCTGCCATGCCAATAATTTTCAATTAAGGTGGCATCTGCCCATTGTATAAGCACTTCCAATCTGTTAAGAAAGTATTTAGATTATTATTGCAGAGACTGTGATAACAATGCAAAACATTATTACAAATTACATTTAGTGTGCTTGAGTTACCTCTCCAAATCAAGTAGTGACTTTTGCTTAAATATAATTACTGTCTGGAAATATTACAAAGCTCAAAACGGCCTTGATTCTCAGTACCTGCATACCCGTCTGCCCCCCCCCCCAGACGTCTGTTAGATATTTATACCTTGCGCTCCTCAGGCCAGGACCTGCTATCTCAGCCTACAATTTAGCATTCTACGCTGGACGGTAGGGCATTCTCGAGTGTGGCGCCTAAGTTCTAGAACTCTCTTAGATTTGCCCGAGCGCCGAACGGTTCAGAAAACTCTGCAAGAATTATTTTTTCTCTTTAGCTTTTCCTTGTGTGTGTCCTCATTTTGAGATTTTTTTTCTCTGTCTTGATTTTATAGGTAGGACAACCTTCGTTTAATTCATACTGTAAAGTATTGCGATGTCCTCTTTATCGAGGGCGAGCTTTACTCAAAAAATCATTTGAATTAATGCATTGCAAATTACTAAACGTTGAAATAGCATAACGCTGCAACGTCATTGTTAAGCGGAACAATCTAAAAAAACAAGGACTGGAAATTGTTTAGCAATGGAAATTTTGAACCTATATTATTTTTGATTTTGGTAGTGAATATATGCTCACATGCTGCAGAGACGAGCGAGCTTGCAATTAATATAACTGTAAAAAATCCTTTTGGCGTGTATTATGGTGTGACAATGGTAAGGATATTCAATTTATATATCTTTTTAAAATGGCAGTCATCCAAGAGGTGTTTTAAAATGTGAGAATGTCAGTAAGTGCAAAAAGTGCCAGGTGAAGCCAAAAAGACCGGACAAAAAGTCGCTGGACATCCCACGATGACCAAAGAACTGTTCATATACCTGATAGAATGTCTCCGTTTTATAGTGTTCAATTAACACCACAAGTAGGACAAATCTGGGAACATTTTAATGATGCATTTTACTATTCGTTTCATGATTAATAGCGAGGAAGCTTACAGTTCATTTCCTGAGACCAATAACAAGTCTAGTGATATTCAGCAAGATGTAGATTCTCGAGTATTGTTGAGGGTAATGCACATCCTGATTAACAGTGTTTTTTTTTTAATAGCATGACAGTTACACTAATCGGCGATAAACAAATGGCACACTGCAGTATAGAGACCATTGTTGTACGAGTATGCAGAGTGAATGTCATCTTAGTGTAGTCATTTTTTCAAGCAATTGTTTTTTATGTATAAAAGGCTATGTCAGTGTGTTTAGGAGACTTCACAAAATTCTGCAACGTGTTGGTGCTCCTTTGGAATCTAATTTGTGCATCACCCTGCCACTTAAGTGCTCTATGTTTCCGAGATTTTTCCACTAGATGGCAATGCATCACATGAT